AATTACTGTGTTCATACCCCCAACAGAATGGGGTTGCTGAGAGAAAACATAGACATATCTTAGAACTAGCCAGAGCCTTGTGTTTTCATTCTAGGGTTCCCATAAAATTTTTTGGGAATGTCTTATTTGCTTGTTACCTTATAAATATACTCCCCACTGCTGTGTTAGGCTGGAAATCTCCTTTTGAGTTGTTTTTAATAAACCCCCGAATTTGTCCCATCTTTGAATTTTTGGATGCCTGTGTTATACTACAAAACCCAACTACAAAGACAAATTATCTTCTAAAGCTACACCTTCTGTTTTTCTTGGTTATTCTAGCAGTAAAAAAAGGGGACATTTTGTTTGATCTCTTTACTAAAGTCTTGTTTGTTAATTGTGATGTCATCTTTCATGAAAATGTCTTTCCCTTTTATTTTACCTCTTCAGAGTCTTATTGGTTTTTTCCTTCCTAATCTTGTATCCACGTACTCCACAGAATCATATCAAAGGTCCTCTGTTTCTGAACATGAGAGTGTTTCTGAACCATTGCCACCTGTTGCTGACATTGTGCCTCCTCCTGTTTCTGTTGTTGAACCTTTTCGGTCTGTTCAGTCATCTTTTAGAGTTTCTAGACCTCCTAATTGGTTGCATGACTCCAATCTTGCCAGTCCACTTCCCCTTGAAGTCAATATCCCATTTCTAAATATCTTTCTTATTCTCATTTACCTGTCATTACACAATCCTATATTCTTTCTTTTTCCCAAGATTTTGAACCCCAAACTTATGATGAGGCCAAAGTTGATCCGAGATGTATATAAGCCATGGCAGAGGAGATTCATGCTCCGGAATTAAAAAATACTTCGACTATGGTACCTTTGCCTCCTAGCAAGGTGTGTATTGGTTGTAAGTAGGGTTTTCGGGTTAAGTACAAAGCTTCTGGAGGGGTGGAGAGGTTTAAGGCCCAACTTGTTGCCAAGGATTATAATCAGTAGGAAGAAATTGACTTTGTGGAGACTTTTTCTCCTGTTGTTAAAATGACTACGGTTTGTTAGGTTTTGGCCCTTGCCTCTATTTTTTATTGGCCATTGTGGCAAACAGATGTGCATAATGCTTTCCTACAAGGAGATTTGTTTGACGAGGTTTATATGCAGATTCCATAAGGCTTTTGTAGTCATGGGGAGAATGTAGTTTATAGACTACAAAAATCTTTGTATGGTTTGAAATAAGCGTCGAGGCAGTGAAGTGCAAAGTTAACTGAGGCATTACTTGCGATTGGTTTTTTCAGAGCAAACACGATTACTCATTATTCACACAAAGACAAAGATAAAAAATTGTTCTGGTTTTGGTTTATGTTGATGATCTACTGATTACCGGGAATGATGGTAAAATGATTGGTGAACTCAAAGTTGCTTTACTCAAAAGGTTTAAGATGAAGGACTTAGGTGATTTAAAGTACTTTCTTGGACTTGAAATTCTAGATCAAAAGATGGAATTTTATTGAATCAACGCAAATATGCTCTCGTGCTGATTCAAGATTCAGGAATGAGTGGAGCAAAACATGTTGTTACACCTTTAGAGAATAATAGTAGGTTTACCACTATTGAATCTGATGTGCATTAGCAGCAAGGGGGATATGAAGATTTGTGTGATAAAACAAATTATCAAAGACTGATTGGTATGCTTTTGTACTTAACAAACACAAGGCCTGACACTGCATACCGAGTACAATACCTCAACCAATTTATGCTTCAGCCAAAGAAGGAGTATGAAGAGGCAGCCTTGAGGATTGTGAAATATATAAAGAAGAATCATTGTCAAGGTATTCTGATGAAGGTAACAAGTAAATGTGAGTTTATGGCAAATTGCGATTCAGATTGGGCAGCGTGCCTGATGATTAGAAGGTTTGTTACTGGGTATTGTGTAAAATTGGGGAGTCTTTAATCTCTGGGAAATAAAAAAAAACTAATGTTGTTAGATCCTCAGCTGAAGCTGAGTATAGGAGCATGGCAATAAATATGTTTGAGATTGTGTGGCTAAGTGGTTTGCTTGAAGAGCTTGGAATAAAAAGATCTCAACTAGTTAGGCTTATGAGCGATAGTAAGGCTGCTTTGCAGATTACTTCAAATCCAGTTTTCCATGAGAGAACAAAACATATAGAGATAGTTTGCCATTTTTTCAGAGAAAAAAATCCGAAAAAACCTGATTTGAATTGAACATGTAGCCTCAGCAGAGCAAGAAGCATATATTTTTACCTAGGGTTTGGGAGCAAACCAACACAACTATTTGATGTCCAAGATGGGAGTAAAAGATGTTTACTTAGTTGTGCAATGTAGGTTAGTTTGTTATAGGAGCAATTATTAGTTTGCTAGTGTTGTATTTATTATATAAATATGCAAGTGTACATGTTTATTATACAATGAAATCAAGTATTTTTTTTCATTTATTTAGTCTTAACGGTATGTTGTGAAATGTATTTAATATGTACAATCATCATCAATCTGTTAGAGAAGATGATTGTATTATTGATTTCACCGAGATGGAAAGAAGTGGATGTGATGAGGAGCCAAATGGAGACGCGACAAAGTTTAACAAGTTGATTAATGAAATATTTCAATAACTTTATGAGGGATCAAAATGTTTGGGAGAGTGAACCAGTAACTCTTTTACGCGGTTATTATAGTTTTTGAGGGAAATGTTTCCTTTTGTAAAAATCCCCCAATCATGTAAATATTTGAAGAAAATGATAAAAGATTTGAGCTTTGGTTATGAGAAAATTCAAAGTTGTCCGAATGATTGCATGTTGTACTGAGGTGATTGAAAAAACACCGAGTCATGTCATGTATGTAGAAAATCTCATTGGATGAATGAAGACGTGGAAAATATGAGCGAGGAGGAAGTTGAAGCACGATCAAGAAAGAAGCCAGTAAAGATTATGTGGTATTTTCCTTGGCTTCAAAGACTTTTTTGTCTTCAAAGACTTTTTATGTTACTATAATACTGACTTTATAAGTCATGTAAATTTCAAATTGTAGGACAGAGAGCACATTGGTATTGCTAGCAAACGACAATAAAAGTGTACTCATAGTTGGATCGAAGAGCTTTGCTGGTGTAGCTCATGACGAGGTATTCTGTTTTTAATTATGATTATTCACATAGTGATTTTAAGTTGGTAGCACATAATGGACATTTTTCATATTTTTTATTATTTTTTGTAAGTATTAATTTATATTCTACATTGTAGGATATTACGTCAGGCAATAGAGTTGGACAACTAAAGCTCTTCAAAATGACATATATAAAAAAAATATAGTTCTCATATGGTTCCTAAAACTGCAAAAGTTATGGTATATTTATTGGACATAAAATTTGAGTTATATTATACGTATATTTATAGAATAACATTTTTATTTTAAATAATGTTAAAATTCGTTCTACTTTCTTAATTGATTATTAAGAAAAATTGATTGATAAAAGGGTGGAATATGAAACTACAGCTTCATCTCATGGTTCTATTAGTATAGACGAGATTGAAAATCAAGTTATTGCTGAAGTTTTCGATCCTGGAAGATATGATCGAGTTCGGTGTCAGGGATCATTCGTTACCCCCAACCAAATATTTTGGATCTAGCTCGTTTCAGTTCATGTCATCACACAGTTAGTCTTTCCAATCAGAAGTTAATCTATTAAAACAATAGTTGAGTCAAGTGGATGAGAAACTTGCTCAAATGAAAGCTGAAGCTGAAAGAAGAGAAGTTGAGATAGAAGCGAAAGAAGCATAGAGAGAGAGAAGCGAGAGAAACATAGATAAAAGTAATATTTTAGAAAATATATGAAGAACTTCAAAATCAACTTGAAGCTATGAAGCAGCAGAATCAAGCGCGAAATTTACCATCGTAGGTAATTTCTAGGTTAATGCTTTGTTTATTCTATTGAACAATGTTGAACTACATTACATTACACTTGGATGTTTGTAAACTTTGATTTATTCCTGTCTTTAACTATTTTTACTAAATTCAATTCATAATTAAATTTTAAAGTTATTGGATATTGTTACAAGTTAAATTTAGATAATATAGAGTAGGAAAAAATATTTGAAAAATCAGTTTCTATTAGTGACATTTTAGGATGAAAAACTCCACTAATGGAGTACATACTTAGCGGTGTTTGTGTGGACCAACACCACTATATACATAATTATTTGCGTCTAAATAACCAACCTTTTGCGATCTTTGTATCCCAAAAACGTTGCTACATATCATGACATTTAACGACGTTTGAGATACAAACTAGACTTTTTGCGATATTTGTTAACTTAAAACGTAGCTAATAGTTGTGGCATTTGTTTTAGCGGCGCTTCTTGTGGCATAGTTTTTTGGGTCGGAAGGATTTTTAACGACTCTTTGAAACGTGACTTGTTCTGCTGTAGTGACACAAATGATCACTTAGTCCTATATTTTTTAGATCACCTTAATCCACAATGTTTTAAATTTTTGTCAAAACAAAACATGTTGGATGAAAATCATTAGTTGACTAACAGTCAACATATATTACTATCGTGACATTTTCACATATGTTCAATTGTTGGTGCGGTGTGTGCGGCGTCACCTAGAGTTGAACTTTTTTCTACTGTGATGGAGAATTCCTTACTCGACATTGATGATCCAATGGTATGGTGATGAACGATGGTCTCGAAGAAGAGATTGTAGCAGTTGCTAAGCTAGCAAAGAGGTGCTTGAATCTTAATGGAAAGAGAAGACCCACAATGAAAGAAGCTGCTAAGGAGTTTGAGCGGATTAGATCCTCTGAAGAAGCTAATGTCATTGAACAAACTACAGATGAAGATTCTGATATAGAGGACAACATAATCGAACTTTCTACCACTACATATTCAGTGTCCGATTCAGTCTGGTTAGTTTCAAAAGGTACTTGTTGTGCGTTTTCTTTTGAACTTCACGCGTTTAGTTAAGCTTAAGGTGCGTAGTTAATAATTGGTTAGAGAAGACAGACAATTTGCAGTTTGTAGAGAGAAAGTTTAACATTATGCTCTCATTGATTTGGAGCAAATTTACATCACACCGACAAGGAAAACGTCAAAGATAAATCCTAGGACAGTCTCTAAGTTCACTTTCCGGGGACAAAGTTGGTGGCGTAAGACCAGGCGTTGTTGTTGACTGGGTCGGCAAGGTGGTCAGCCAAGTTCTCGAGTGGTCCTTTTCCGGTGACGATGGCTTGGACGAAGAATCCAAACATGGAGAACATGGCCAATCTGCCGTTCTTGATCTCCTTGACCTTGAGCTCGGCGAATGCCTCTGGGTCATCAGCAAGACCCAGTGGGTCAAAGCTGCCACCTGGGTACAACGGGTCAGTCACCTCACCCAGAGGACCACCGGCAATGCGGTAACCTTCGACAGCTCCCATCAAGATAACTTGGCATGCCCATATGGCCAAGATGCTCTGGGCGTGGATCAAGCTTGGGTTTCCCAAGTAGTCAAGTCCTCCCTCGCTGAAGATCTGAGAACCGGCCTTGAACCAGACGGCTTCGCCGAACTTGACTCCGTTCCTGGCCAGAAGCTCAGGGAAAACACATCCGAGAGCTCCCAGCATGGCCCATCTGCAGTGGATGACTTCGAGTTCACGGTTCTTAGCAAAGGTCTCAGGGTCGGCGGAAAGTCCAGCAGTGTCCCAACCATAGTCACCTGGAAACTCTCCGGTCAAGTAGGATGGAGGGTCACCGGAGAGTGGACCCAAGTACAAAACTCTGTCGGGACCGTACCACGGGCTTCCAGAAGCTGCAGGCTTGGTGGCGCCTTTCCTCATGGAAACACGGCCATTGCCCTGGATTTCAGGGGCGGAAGGATACAGCTTGACAGCCTTTCCGGCGAATGAAGGAGAAGAGAGAGCCATGGTTGTCGCTGCCATTGTACTATTGAAAGTGATAAGCAGTGAAAGATGAAGAGATGGTAGTTTTGCTTGGACGGGTGGGGTATTAATATTGTTGTCCAAGGAAAGGGGTCCTTATCTTAGGAGATCGATATCCCAATTCCCATTGGTTTACAACATTTCGGAAGTCAGATTTTTTAATGTCTACTTGGCTGCATTTGCCCCACTTATCAAACCGTTGGATAATTTGGGTGAAGCCATTGTGATCAACAATCCGCAGCAATTTAAGTGTTCCTTATTGCTCCAATCATATTAGGCCACTTGTGGATATATCGGATAGCCCCATATCTGCTTGGAACAGACACACAGTACATCACAATCTGTTCTACTTAGCAAATGCAATAGTTTGCATTGCTTGCTCAGGAATTCTTGCAGGACAGCCATGTATTAATTTTATGGAAATGCATTTTCAATCAAAACTTGTTCCCACATCATATCTCAACAAATGAATTTCTCTCCTAAATGTTCTAGAGTAGGGTTATATCAATACTGATATAATTTTTTAGGCTAAATGATTGAAACAGTTTGGGTTCATTCAACGTGAGAATGGCCTTTACTACAAGAGAAATCATATTGGAATGAGGTTTTCCTTCTTGGGTGAATGTTATCACACTAAAACTTCGTTTTCATTAGAAACATCTATCTTTCAAGCCATTTCTATTGTGACTTGCACGATTTTGATTCATTTACATAAAACTCTGAAGCTAGTTGTATTGAATCTGTAAAAAAAATCCAAATCAAGAGTGTTTACGTGTACTTGTGAAATTTATGGGGTTGAAGATATTTCTTTCAATCTTGTTTGTACGAGTATATATATCTCCCAACACCAAATAATACGACAACTGGCCTCTGATAGCAGTTTTCATTGATAATGTGATTTACATCGAGAATGACGAATTTATCTTCAAATAAATCTTGGGATATCTTATGAAAATCTTAGGAGTCGTCAAATATTTAGTGTAAATGAAGTATAGTAATTTCAAAAAGATTTGAACAGTTATCTTTGAGAAATCTAGATCACAAGCGTCATTTTACTCACCAAAATAAAGTAAATCTCTTCGAAAATAAAATAAATAAATGGAAAATAGAACAGTGGAAGAGGGTCAATCCACAGGAAAATTTGAAATCTCTGATTCAAAAGTACTCTAATTTTAATCCCATAAGCTGTTGTAAAAGCAAATAAAAATAAAAGGGATTGACGTGATTGAGATGAAATGAATGAAAGCAAACTAAAGACTAAGTAACTCAAATAAAATGAAAGGAAACAGTAAATGAAAATAAGTTGAGAAAGATCAATGAAAAAGATCGCCTTGAGCTATCTTTGTTTCAATTCCATTGATCATTGAAATTGATTTTTGCTCCAGGATTAATGTCGGTTATAGTCTACAAGGTCCAACCCATTGTAACTTGCCCTTCTCTCATGTAATTGATTTTCCCAAATCTATCTTCGAAAGATGATTCTTGAGTAGATTAACCACATCTATTGACATTAAAACATTCATATTAAAATCTAGAAAGGCCCGACTCGGATATTGTCTCATCGAGAATCAATTCCGATCTTGTTTTCCCTTAGCGGATCACCTCTAAGCATGTTCACAGGAAGTCAAAGTGTCACAGGCCGATCCTTCCTCCCAACAATACTTTCAAACAATATTCAGACCAACGTCGATTTTTTTGATTAAAAAATCTTAAAAATTTGTAAGTAAGGTCGATTGCCAAACTAATAAACCAAAAAATCAAGAATGTATCTCGATAGTAATTAAGTGTTGTTCAATTCTCACGTATGAAATTGATTCATTACTAGCTCTTGGCACGAGGAAATTAGTTAAGCATGATATTGATCATCATACTTAGCATGGATTTGTAAAATAAAATAACTTGAAAATGAAAAGAAAATTTAATTAAAATAAAAATGCTGAAAAATAAACAAAGTAAAAACAACATATGTTCAAGCCTTTACCCATGAAGGGTATTTATAGGCTCCATAAATCTAGAAATAACAAAATAAAATTCAAGATAATCTAAATAAAAATTCAAGTGTTTTCAAGAAATTGAAATCCTAAAATCTCTATCCAAAATCGTGCTGACTGGATATGCTTCCAGAACCTTTCAGTATCTTCTGTAATTTTGCCACATCAGCCCCACGTCGTGTCCATAGTCCCAGCCACGATCAGAAAAATAAAAAAAGTGTAAAATACATCCTTTTGCTACCAATTCCAGTAAGCTAATCACTGCACATAAAAATAAAAAAAATCAACCCAATTCAGTAATGAAAAATTCTTAAAGCATGTGAATTATCAAATAAAAAGTGTCAATCTCAAGCACTCAACAAATTCCCCCTCACTTGTCTCAAAATGCATCCAAGCCACAAGTTCTAGATTTCCATCATTCAATTTGACACTCTCAAGCAAGCAAAAGAGCATAAAAATAAGGACATTCATGCTCAAGTCTCAAAATCTCACAAAATGGGCTAAATAATCAAGCTAGGCAAAGAATTCAATTAACAAAATCAAGACATATGGCAAAAGGTCCTTAAATTAGTATTCTACTCATGCAATTAGTCTATCAAGCATGCTAAAAGTCAAGTATTCATATGAGCTTAAACGATCACAAGATGTTAAAGGCAAGCAACGAAAATGGTTCATTTCAATTACACATTCAACCAATTCAACCAAACATGCCATGAGACAAGTAAGACAAGCAAGACCAAATTTAATTCAACCTTTACCCCCTTACTTCATTGTATTCTCCCAATACGAAATAAATCAAAATTAAAGCATAAAGAGAAGAGTAAAGGAAACTCCCCATTATCAATGGTGACCGTAGCCACGGCCATGGTCGCGGCTAGGGCGAAGGTATGAGAGAATTTCTGTGATGTTCTCCTCAAGGGCATGAAACGTTCAAAAAAATTGGGCACTTGTTCTTGCGCATTCGAATGAGGTGAAGATGGAGAGCGAGGTGCTGCATTCTGACGAGTGAAGACCCGTTCGGTCCGTGGCATCATAACTCCCGATGGAACAATGTAAGGAGCTGACAAACAAGCTCATAGAGTCCAAACAACGCTCATATAATCCATCCATATAAAATGCATAAGTTTAATTAAAAATATCGAAATTAGCTATACGAGAGACTAAATGAGAAATATATGGACCAATTATAAAAGGTTGGTTGGATTGAATGACGATATAAAATTGCTTGGCGAACCAAAAATCGAGATTTATTTTTCTTCCGGTGAACATACACTAAAGGAAAAATAACTCAGTCTTACTTAAAATATCGGAGGAGTCATTCTGTCACGAGAAATTGTGCGCTAAAAAGCGATGGATGTAACGCAGAGCTAGGTTGTGGAGGTGAATTGCCTTCGTCGAGCGTGGGTTAAAAGGTTGAGTGCCAAAATCGGTAAGCATGGAGTACACCATATCCGCAACAAAATCATGTGGAATCTCAAATAAAGCGGTTAAATAATCTAGACTCGAGACGTTTGTCTCGAATCCCATAGCAAGATTAAAATCAGAGATAGACATATCAAATTGATTTCTGCCAAAACAGAAGGACACTACACTAGGAGACTCGACATTGATGAACTGAGCATGCGAAAATATGAAAGTGATTTATTTGTGAGTAAAGTGTCCGTCCAATAGTAGCAAAATAAGTAAAAAGAACATCCTAAATGTGCAAATTTTGAAGAGATTGCATTGGAATATACTTACATACTCGGAAAGGGTGGTGACAGATATCTTGAAAATGAACGATATGTTCATTTTCGAAGTGAATGAACCCCTTTAAGTTCTCCTCGGATGACACATCGTAGGTGTGGCCTTGCATATTGCGTTTTGAGTGTTCGGATGCCGGTGGTGGACTACTCGAAGACGATGGAACTGCGTTTTGTAACATCCTCAATACCGGGTTAGTGACCAAATTGTAAAATTTTAGAATTTGGTGATTAAAGTAGATTAGTTAAATAGTTTAATGATTTATTTGGAAATATTTCCTGAAAGTTGTTAGTAATTATCAAAGGAATTAAAGGGCAAAATGGTCATTTGACAAGAAAGATATTTTTCCCCTTTATATAAATGAATCACGTGGGGGGGAAGAGAGTTATCTTCTTCCTCTTGCTTTCTTCTTCTTCTCGTGTGCCAAGCTAGAGCAAAGGTGAGTTTTCTATTTTGTTTATTATTTGTTAATTTAAAGTTTGGGTTTTGATCATTAGATGATAACTAAGCTTAAGTTATCTTAAAATCAAAAGGTAAAGGAGTTAGAGAAGATTAAAGATTTGGAGATCTTGAGTGAAATCTTGAAATAGAGTTGATAAGTTGAATTTGAAGTTAAATTTAACTTGTCATCAACTTAATTAAGAAGTATTAAGTGTTAGAATTGGATTTGAAACACGTTGAAAATTGGGTATGATTCTTAAAGTTTATAAAGAGGAGAAGATTTTGAGGTTTAAGATGAGATAAATAAATATAAATTGGTTTAAGTATGTATATGTGAGTTAGGAATATGAAAGGGAATGAAACATGAAGTATTGAAGGTGGAAATTCGAAATGGTGAATTTTCGTGCTTGAATAGTAAATTATGGGGGAAAATTCAGAATACAATGAAGGTACCGATACCCCTAAAGGAAAAATGGAATTTTGGTTTATTAAACTAGCTTAAGTTATTAACATCAAGTTATAAGGTTTATGCTTCTGATAATCATCTCGGAAATTATGTTTATGTAGATATTAAGCCTAAACAAGTTCCAGAACAATCAAGAATTATCAAACAAGTTCCGAAATTTTAATTATACTTATGATATTGAACAAACATTGGCTTGCGACGAGCCTGTGACGGAGTTATTATGGTAAGAAGTGACTCCTAAAATGTTAAATGATTTGTGATTTTTATGTGTCATGACCTACATGATTAAGTGATATGAGATTGAACAAACATTGGCTTGCGACGAGCCTGTGACGGAGTTATTATATGCATCATTATATATGAGCTATGTCTGACATGAGATAAGTGATATGAGATTAAGTGAAT